TCGATTCCTGGCTAAGGCGTTGCTACTTTTTCTTCTCTCCGGCTTCTAAAAAAAAAAAAAAAAAAAAAAAAAAAAATCCTAATGTCTCTACAACTTGATTAAAAAGGTAAACTTGAATGCATCCATGAAAACGGAGATGATAATTAAATGTATGATTTTATCCCGAGTCTTCTTATTTTTAGGTCTCTCTCTAATCATCAACTTATAATTTTTTTTTTTTTTTTTTTCCAAAAGCACGCGTGGCTTTCAGTGCAAACTCTGTAAACAGCAAACTAAACAATAATAATTGAAAACCCATAAAATGTAGCTGCTGTTGTGAAAGATAACTTTTGGATTTTGTTTTGCATTTGAAACACTGTATTTAAGAACCCTTACATGTTAATCTGTATAAGACCTGGTAAATATATTAATCTTAATATTTAGTATTTATTAAATTAAAATTTTACTCTAGCATTACGCAATTTATTTCAAACCAGGGAAAAACCTAACGGCAGTTCCTAAGTTCACAAATAGTAAATAATTTCTACATAATATTAACTTTCAATTACGTAGAGTATAATTACATGGCTTCCGCAGATCTACCCCAAGAGTGAATACTAGGTATTAAGCATTTGTTCCAGATAATTTTAAAATACAGTTGAATCTCAATTAAAGGATTCTTTAATTTCGAAAACATTTCCCATCAACGGACAATTCCTGAATCCTGAAATTTTGAAATACAGTCGAATCTCAATTAACGGATTCTTTAATTTCGAAAACATTTCCCATCAACGGACAATTCCTGAATCCTGAAATCTTGAAATAAGAAAGACAGAGTTCTCTCATTTAGAGGATACTTTCTAGTATCGGATAAAAGCGTTGGCCCCGTGAGTGTCAGCAAATAGGAAGTTCGACTGCATACGAATAAACTCCTTAAAATATGTCACATATAGTATAGTAAAATCAGTTGATCAGATATAAAAGCTTTCATGACGTGTATACGTAATGACCCAATTACAGCACTGTACCTACTATCTGTCCCCTTTATGTGGCGTTGGTTTATTACAAATTAGCAATATTTATAAATTAAAAAAATACTAAAATTTAATTTTTAATTTCATATTTATCGATTAGTTTTGACTAATATCTCACCGGCAGTTTTAGATGCATAAATATTCAATATACTTTTATTAAAATAATGTTAAAGGCATTAGTTACTAACTAAACAGATAAAAATGCATTTCAATTTAATTAACCATTTTGTAAAGTACAGTAACGATGTTTATCTAAAGTTTTTACTGATTTTATGGTGAACAATTCTCATGAAGTAAAATTCCCACTTTCACTGCCGAATCTAAATTTTATATCTGAATATTAGGTTTTAAATTTTGGGAATGAAGAATTTAGGAATAGAATGCAAACGAGTAACTAAATTAATGCTGATGACATATTACATCAGTAGTTCTAAGGTATATGGAATAAATAAATAAATAACAAATAAACTTATTTGAATTTTCTTCCCATCAGAGTCCAGTTTTCTGAATATTAAAACATAATTCTCTAAAAATAAACAATCAATATTATTTTGATGGGCTAAAGTTGTAGTTTTGCTTAAGTTGCAAGTTATTTAACTTTTAAGAAATGATTCAACTATGTTAAAATGCACCAACGAACAATATGATTGTAAACAGAGGAGGGGAAGGAATTTAATAAACAAAGTTTAATGTACTAGTGAAATTTTGAAGTTTTGTAGAATTATTTTAGAATGGCTGTGTCCTAAGTCTATACAGTAATAAGACATCTCTTCAATACACAGAGAAATCAGAGATAAAACATTATCTTATCATAGTACACATAATAGTATAAAATAAATTTTCATCTGAGTATAAGATACTGAACCATTACATGAAAGTGACATCAACAGAAAATATTTTAACGAATATGTGAATAGAATAATATATCCAGGCTGCTTCTTAATTTCTTTGTAAACTGGAAAATGTAGACGTCAATGAACATGCCAATGAAAGCTACTTCCCTCTCAATTATGAAGCTAAAGTATTACGAAAAATGAATCCTGATCATCATTATTCGAAAAGGTAATGAATATGTAATACTACTAAGAGATTTCTGACATTAATAAAAGTTAATATTTTTCATAAATCTTTTCCGGAATTGTCTTAGTTTTATATTTTAAATAAAATAATTTAGATTTTAAACAATTGTACTATTATGGGTTTGGTGAAAGTTTTTCGAATCATCGATACATCTGATTAAATTTTCATACCTATGACGTATTCATCTCTCAGATTTTAATATACATTTCTCTAGTTTATTATTTTTAGGATTCTGTTTTATTTCTCTTACTCTACCCTTACTAGTTTAAAATAAGTATAGTCATTTCCTAGATTATGATGGGAACCCACTTCTTCTCATTCCTTTTCGTATAAGTACATTTTTATTTTAAGGGTTAAATGCATTGCATTGATATTTACTGGGTTTAGATTAAAAAAAAAAAAGTTTTCACACAATTTGATTGGAAATGTCATCGAATTATACTACTGTCAAAAACTTTACAGCTGATCTTGAACCCTAGTACTTCAGGCATATGAGATATTAATAACAATAACTCTTTAAATGATTTTTAAATACCATTATTAACTAAACGTAATCAAAACACTTCGCTAATAAAAAGCTTAATGAGAATAAACTAATTCTGAGTTCAGAATAAATACTGAGTACAAAAGAAATTTCAATTTAAAATGTAATTTGCTTCGTAATGGGTATGATAAGCAGTGAGAGAACATGTCTCTTATTCAATCACATTTTTAGTCATTGAATTAGAATTACATTCAGATTAAAATTCTAGTTTGTTGACAATTTACAGAATATATTAAAGCAGCTAGTTTAATAATGCAGACTAAATGTTCATAAATTTAGACTAACAATTTGTGTTGTAACTTTCATATCTGAACTCTGATTAGAGTGTAGGCAATAAAAACAGGAAAATTATGTATATCAAATATTACTTGATAAATATTTACAAGAAGAACCTCTCCATAGTTGCTGAAATATAAAGTTGAGTGTTATATAAGAACACATCCAACACACGATGTTTTGCAAAGGTAAATTTTGTTCAGCTCCATATCATCAACTAGTAGTGCGAGTATTTTTCGAGATTTTTTTTAAATAATAAAATACACTAATTTATTGAAATATATTTAGAAAATTAATTATAATAAGATACCTAAAAAAGCAATCAAATTCAGCTATGTTTTGATTTATTACATGAATGATATTCTTAAAAATAGAGGAATCAAAATGAGTTGATAAATTTGTAAATGTGATTGAGGTAAATACGCTTAGATAAACTGTTGTGGAAGCGTTATACTACGAAAAGATATGAAAGATTATCATTTGATCACATAGTTACGAAAATTTAGGCCTTTTAAGAGGGAATAAAGCAAAACTTAATAAAGTATTTTAACAAGCTATTCTCAGTTAAATTACTTTATTAAAATTTCCTTTGAGAAATTTTGATTTCTGAAAATATTTAACACGGAATTTCCTGAATTTTAGAATATTTTTTTTCTTTATATCAAGTAATTTGTAATATTCAAAAAAGTTCAAAAGGCTAATTTACTAATAACAGATTTTGCTGCATGATTGTTGAATTTCATGATAAAGTAAATTACATTAAAACTTGCCTATTAAATACTCCAGGTTTCTGTTGATTTACTTTTGTTGTTTTTTCCAATATGAAAGCAAATATCGGTATTTCATTATTGTTGGAGAATATGATGTGAAAAGACAAATATAGTATATTATAAAAATTTTAAAACATTGTAGTAGTTTGAATTATTTTAGTAAAAAAGATTGTCAGAGCCAGCTTACTTGTTCCTACATATTAACATATTTCTTAAAATATGTCACTATCGTGTTGTTTAAGTATTTACTGCCTTTCTTCAAATGAGCAATGCTATAAACGAAGTAATAAATATTTTATATATAAAAGTGATAACAGTGCAATCTTAAACTACAGCACACATAGATAAACTAATTTATTTATTTCATTTTATAACTGCTATAATGTTAGTTGATTATGAAATCATTTTACTTTATTTACTTCCGGCGTTGGTCTTTATCCTGATGATATTTATTCAGATTTTGAAACCAGCAAAATTTAGCCCACTAATTGAGTATGTGTGCAGGGGGAGGGGGCAGAAATCAGGGCATTTTTTAGGAGTGATCTAGCTCAGTTTTCCCTTCTTGAAAAAGCAATGACACGCTTCCGAAACATTACTTCTGCACAGAGCTCCCTGTAAAGTCAGCATTATCTAATGAATTAAATCTTATCTCTTAATTTGTCTTGATCTTGTGATATCTATTGTTTAATCAGCCCGTTCTTTTTGGATCGAGCTGGCGATAATTCATTTGCATTTATTTTATTGCAGTATTTAGATTTCCAAGTTTAATTTCGTCAGCTTTCTAATATAAAAGAATATCTTTTTAATTTCATAGAAGAATCTTTTTCTTTGCAGTATCTATAACATCTCTTGTTTGCATTTAGAGAACGTGTACAATGTTGCTACACTTTACGTAATCCAATTAAACTATTACATTTTAAGAAAACGTACTTCTGAATGAGTTTCCTTAATTGTTCTTGAAACTGATTTATTTATTCTTTCTTCTGAAAGAGAGGGCAAAGTTCCATGCAAAAAATTTTATTCAAAAACGCTACTTACAGACTCAATGTGGCATCAAACTATTTGACTCAATGACTTTTATGAATACTTCTTACAATATATTTGAGCTATATAGATTAGGAAATTTCACGTTATAGGCCCAAAAATTTTTAATTATATGTTCTTAATTAAGTAAAAAGTATACAGAATATACCTAAAGCAAAATAGTTTTCTCTTGGACATACATGTATTTTATGAAACATATACAGTATAGAGAAAATATGTAAATTAACATATGCTTCTCCCACGTGGAATAAATAAAATATACTTTGTACTTACCTCGGGCACCAGCGGCCTGAAGTGAAATGGCAGCAGCCCACTGAGATCCAGTAGCTGGTGAACCTTGAACGAGAGGCCTCTGACCGACCACGTGGGGTCCAGCTGCAGTCCATACGGGCTGAATTTGTTGAGGAAGCCTCGAATGATGTGGATTTAGGAACCGGGAGTGTGGAGCGTGTGATCTCGGTCTGGCATCTAAAATCCTGTCCATCAGGTACAAATCGGAACCGTTAATCGGCATCAACGTATCGCCACAGTCATATGGTTTAAGACTTGGACTCAAATTGGAGTCATGTCCGGACAGTACGTTAGACGGGTCCTGTAGAGCATTTGCATAGAAATCGGTTGGTGTCCATAATGTTGGTCTTGGTGAACTTGTTTTAGTTCCTGCGAGTAAAGACGCAACAGAAAAATTGGATATGAGCTCTGTCGTTTCTCTTTTAGTTGCCAACAGTTCGGTTTTGCGATCGATATCATTCAATTTAATACTCTTCACGTTTGCTCCTTTTAACAGAGTTGACATTTCCGATTTCTTCTCCTGATCCGGCGTCGGAATTCTAGAGTTTTCAGTTTCCATGCGTCGTACCGAATATGACACGAAATATTAAATTGAAGGTGAGTAGAAAGCTCCTGATATTTAAGACACAATACACTGCCTTATAAAATCTACAGAATCAAAAGTAAAGTCATGAAGCTTTCTTGAATTTCACAAACAGAAAATAGAATATAACTATTCCATATGCAGCTAATGATATACATTTCGTAAGCGAATTGAGTGTTTTAGCCTCCTCATCGCATTGTCACTTGATTAAAGAATACTCGCTCTCTTTAGAATATTTCTGTTCTTAAAAAATTATTTTTAATAGTTCCAAGAACCACATATTTGAATTTCATATTGATTCCGATAATCAGTCAACTGTAAAAATCTATTTGTCTATCCAGCCAAAAGCGAAATAAAAGTTGCCACTCTTACCACGTTTCTTGCCATTCTACTGATGAGTGCGCCGCAAAACAGACTGAAGACCGTGTCTGCCTATTCCTTGCTTCGCTGCAGTCTCGGGCTTCGGCGCGCGCGGGACAGACGAGAGAAAACAAACAAAACCTCCCTTGCTCGAAACGTCTGAAGAATTCTGGCTACTGCTTCTCTTCGCCCATCCCGCTATCGGTGGTTCGTTCTTCGCAAATGATCCTTAATTAATTGGAGACGTCGAGTGACCGCCCTGAACTAGATGAGGCGCTGTGCTCCGTAACCAGTTCGGTGCCTCCTTGAATGGGCGTGGTCACAGCTTGTTATGTCGACTCCCATTGGGTAACTGTCGGTCCCCGTTCAAATCGTCATTTCCGCCCTCTAGTTGCTCTGAGAAAATGAAAACGAGTGATCGAAGCGATGAAACGAATCAGGCACGTTTCGACTCTGTTATTGGACAGTCAAATTAAATACCGAATCGAAACTCATCGATTCAAAGGGTGAGCGTGAAGAGGAAAATCGTATCCTAATTTGTATGACCATTGCCCCCTTTCACGCTTCCCATCTCCCTTTTGCCTAATAGAGTTCATAAGCGCTGTCGACTTTTATTTCCCCCCCCCAGGGAATAAAAATCACTTTACATTATATCAATATGTAATTTCTGGAAGTACGTCCCGGACACAAAGATGCGTTTTATTCATCGATAGTTTAGCAGAAGAATGAAGTGTGTCTAAGTATGCTTATTTACAAATTCATGAAGCATGCATAAATAATTTCATTAATGGATCAACAACGCTTTTATTAATCAGAAATATTAAAAGTTCGAAGTATATTATTTTTGTTTCTAAGAAATATAAGCGGTAATCTCCAAAATATTGTTATTGCCTCTGCATTTCTTTTCACTGCTGTCTGTTAAACGTATTACGGTTGAAGAAATTTCTTTAATAAGTAAATAAATAAGAATAAAAAATACGGTATCAGAAGTAGTTCGAAATTAATTTTCGCAGAGCTGCAGTTGAAAATAAAAATAATAAGAAACTGCTTTTTTATTCGATGCAGCAGCACCTGCTTTTAATTCCTATTGCAGCAATTTTTGTCACTTGTGAAGGAGATAAGATATGCTTTAAAATAACCGGTAATGTAGTTTATAACAAAGCATAAAAATGGAGAACTTTTAAACATATTTAAAAAGCATATAAATGTCCGTCAGCCTATATTTTGAAATATATTAAGATAATTGGGGGAGGGGGGAATGCCTTTTTTATTTTTTTATGCTAAAGCTAAAATGCTAGTAAATAAAAAGACCCGTCTTTAAAGCTTTTTATCGAATAACTTTTTATCGTTTCACTTATATTGCCTTTCCTGGTTTATACATTTACCTTTCTCATAGTTTTTCAATTCGTCAGTAAAATATCACTTTGTGGTATTGAAATAGTTTGTTTAGAATCCTCCTTTTTACTTTTAAGTAACTTACAAATAATGCAGAATTACCAATATTAATATACTACTTAGTCAAACTTTTATGGTGATAATTTATTTTGCTTTGTGTTAGGGACACACTGTGTGCTCTATATCTGATTTGACAGGCTTATTGTAAAAGTTCCTAGGGTATATGTTACATGTCGATAGTTAGAAAGCATATAAGCAAATTTCTCTTTGAAACAGAAACTATGGAAATTTGAGGGAAGCTCAAAGTTTGGTCTCGGTCTTAGAGTTTGTTAATTGGCTTAACTGAGAATACATTTAACTGTCTTTATATATGATTTTTACGTCTGTGTAACTGCTCTCGCGAATTTACTTAAGGCTCATGAAGCATACTTATGAAGCTCATTATTTTCTTTTTAAACTTATTTATTAGCATTAAATGACTGAATTGTCAAACTGATAAATTTTGCAGCTAAATAGAAAGTTACAGCATTAGAAAATCAATAAACTAGAAGAAAAGGCTTTTTGTAGCTAAGAAATTACCTTTCAACGAAAAGAAATGTTCTGAAAGGTGTGTTTCTTTTGTTTATTTAATTACTTCCCAGGAAATGAAATTGTAACACTAGTGCCAAATTAAAACGATAGCGAAATACATATATAAATTTTGTCTTTTTATTAGGAATATAAAAAAATATTTAATAAAGCATTAAAAATGATAAACACAAATTCAATTGGATATAAAAGTATTTACTATTTATAGAATAGAAAACGCTCCAAAATTCTAGTAGATCGTTTGGGATTTCATGCTGAGGATGTGAATTTGGATGCTTTTCCAATATGCAACCTAAAAAAGGCCATTTCCTCTCAGAAAATCCTAGAAAAACATGTTCCTGTGAAAGCAAACGGTTCTCGGGTGCTTTACTACAATTATTAATCGTCTATTAGAATGCAAAAGTTCTAAAGATATTACTCTAAATGTTGTGGACAAAGCCCATTAATAATCTAAACATTTAAATACAGACGCATTTTAAGCAAGATTTAGAAAGATAGAAAACATATCAGGATTAGGTAACATTGGGATACTGATAGTGGTAATGCATTGTAATGATCTTGTTTATGAATGAAAGCTTAATATGTTATTCAGGCTACTGTGTGTTACAGAAATTTTCTCGGTACGAACGAAAATATTAGTGATTGCTTAGAGAAGGGTAGCTACGATGATTCGGGAGGGGAAAAAATCGGAAGGTATTCTTTTCATGAGTTGATTGAAATAATTAAGCATAATACTCACTTTTCCGCTTTTAATATAATGATCCAGTGTAGAAAAATTATTATTATAGAATCTTCTTGTTTTGTATTTTTTAATAATTTAAAAATACCAGCGTTTAGCAACAATTTCGTGAATATTTTCATATTATTTACGAAATATCCTAAACCTTATTCTATTCTAAACTTCCATTCTTCCATTCCCTTCTGAGGTTTACCAGAGGCCCGGCTGAAATCCCAGGCAAAGTGCTTACCTGCAATGTTTTTTTTTTTTTTTTTTTTTTTTTTTTTTTTTTTTTTTTTTTTGTTTTGTTTTTGTTTTTTGTTTTCCTCAGCATAACGTAAATCGAGTAACTTTTTCTTAAAGAATCCTCCATGAAAGCATCCCTCTCCTTAAGCAAACAGCCCTTGCTTGTTTTGCAGTAGCCTATGCCAAACCTTTCTGACGATAGAAAAATAATACCGAGGTTTTTGAAAGGAGTACAATAATACATTTAAAAGAGGTAAGCCCATTAACATTTGGACAGGAGTATGATTTTTTGAAAATTACAGTTATCATTATTGGACTGTTTTATCTTTGTGTATTTTATTTGTATTATATGACATTAACAGCCTGAAATTTTTTTCTATTAGATGCTGCTTGCAGTTGCTTAGTTACTCTACACTTTTATTTATTTATTTATTGTTCCATTTTGCACTTCTCATTATACCTAGGATAGGGCTCAGTTTCAATTGCAGACCATCAATCGTTCGGTTCTTCTCAATTTCTGAGCAAAATCATAATTCTAGTCGAAAACGGAAATAAAATTATCTCCAGTACATTTTTTATAGCTGATGCACAATATCAGAAAATTTATCATTATCGTTAATTTAAACTCAATATTGATATTTTTATTTGCTTTTTTACATTTAATTTAATTGTTCATTGTTTATGCTTTTTTTAATTATAATTTCATTAATTTTTATTCACGGTTTCTAATGGCCTTCCACGAATCTTTGATATTTCTAATTTTAGAAATTAAACTTTGGACTAGAACAAGGAAACGTACATTATTTCTTCTTAAAGGTATTAAAGCAATTCTCCTTACTTAAAACTGATAATGTCTTAGAATGACGCTTGACCTTGATTTAAACTTCATCCACTTCGAGTCATCTTTAATTTATTTAATTTTTCTGCTTAGTTTCAGTTTCTTTATTTTATAGGTTTACGACAAAATAATAAAGCAATCAGAATTCCCTGCATTGCTATAATTCTATCAAATAGTTCTAAGTACAGCTAGCGCTGTCATTGCAACTTTTGATTTGCATGTTGTTCGGCGAATACGCTCACCGTATATTTACTGTAGAAAAAAAGACGCTTCATGCAAAATTAACATATATTCAAAGCTGAAAACAGATTAGTTACTAGAAGCAACTAGAGAAAGAAATTAGGTAATTCATCATTATAATTTACTAAAATTTTGACCGTTTACTCGACATTTCGTTTTATTCGACAACCATAAAAGCTGAAGTTTATGTAACAAAATTATTAATATTATTACAATGTGTGTTTACTTAAGCTACATTGTCCCGTTTACATCCAAATGTCAAGTCACAGTTCATAGAACAGCAAATCGGATCATTTCCAGCTCACCAACACCACCAAAACTAAGCTTTTTAAAAACTATTCGTCGGACCAAAGAGAGTATATTATCATTTCCTCTTGCATCTATTACAATGCATTTCTTTTCTATTATAACAACTTTTTTAAAGCACTGTGTTTCTAAATGCATCTTTATTTTTTTAGAAAAGAAATTCGGTATCGTGTAATTTTATGTACTGACTTAGAAGTTCATTCAATATATCTGTCTAATAGAGTTTCTAATTTTTGTTTTATTTTTTAACGGTTCTGCTACAAAAAACGATCTTCAATAATTCTATATTTAATGATAGTTCTAGCTATCCGATCGCCATTCATCGGATAGTCAGGATTCTACTGGATTTAAAACTTCGGCTTAACTGATTACTGTTGCAAAGACCATAACAGTTTACGCATCGGGATTTCAGACAAGGCTGAACCAATACGTTATTTGAACGTTTAAGTTCATTAAATAAAAAATAGCAATCTTTGATCTTGTAAATGTCAATCCGTGGATTAACTGGTACACTAACAAATATTGTCATATAGATCGATACCCCTTTAATGTACATGATGCATCTGCTCATGTACATTAAAGGTACTCTTTAAATGTACATGATATGCCCCTCTTTAAATGTACATGATGCATATGCCCCTCTTTAAATGTACATGATGCATATGCCCCTCTTTAAATGTACATGATGCACATGCAAAAGATGTAAGCCAACTTGAACTGAAATTATCGATAAACTTGAACTTATATGATTTTTTGGTGAGCCTCAAATTTTACAAAGTTAAGAGCCATACTGTAAATGATGGATGTTAAGTCAGTTAAAAAAATAAAACATAACTATAATTTTAATATAAAACATTTACAGAAAACCAGACTTATCTTTTATTCCAGATTATTTTTCAAAATCAAGCGTTAGCGATTTGAGAAAATG